CGCGAGATACTAACGCAACAATCAAGTAACACAGAAAACTACTAGTGCGCGAGATACAGACGCAACAATAAGTGATATATAAAACCACAAGCGCGAGGTACTAACGTAACAATTACATGACACAGAAAACTACAAGTGCGTGAGATACTAACGCAATAATAAAGTGACATATTAGACCACAAGTGCGCGAGATATTATTAACTCAACAGTCAGTGACACATAAAACCACAAGAAATACCAACGTAAGAATCCGTGACACAGAAAACTATTACGCTAGATACTAACGCAACAATCAAGTGGCACAGAAACCACAAATACGTGAGATACTAACGCAATAATCAAGTGGCACAGAAACCTCAAGTGCGTGAGATACCAACGCAATAATCAAATGACAGAGAAACCCACAAGTGCACGAGATACAAACAAAACAATTACATGACACTTGAAACTAGAAGTGTACGAGATATAAATCCAAAAATCAAATAACAGACAAAACTACAAGTGAGGGAGATCGTAATGTAACAATAACAAAGAGAGAGATGACCAGGAGTACGCGCGATACTAACGTAACAATCAAATGAAAAAGAAAATTGGAAGAGCTCGAAAAACCTTGATAATTATCAAATGACGTAGGAAACTAGTGGTGCGCAAGGTGCTACTGTAGCAATCGCGTGGTAGGAATACAATAAGTGCTCATGATACTGATGTATCAATGCCACGACAGAGAAAACTACAGGTGCGCAAGTTGGCCAGCTGCGAAATGTATAATAGCCAGAAAAGAGGATTACTACTTATATCTCGAGAGCTGAAGTGGGTTTGTCTTACCTTCGACTTGACTCATTCTTTTTTAGGCCTCTTCCTCTCAGTTTGCGAGGATGATGAATGACTTCCACCACCTGTTTTATGATTGTTTCCCGTGAATCACAAGTGTGACTCCATTCAATTCAAACACGTTCGCAAGTTGATGGACAACCGTGCATGTCTTCGTGAATTCACAGTGGTTCATAAAGTGGGCAAACAAAAGGACACGGTGGACAACTGAATACGTAAGTAAATATCAAGCAGACCACAGAGAACAATATAAAACACGTCACAGAATATGCCAGAGCGCACATCACTAAGCATAGAATGAAACACATAATGGAGAGAATGAATTACACAACAATGTAAGCTATCGTTAACGGATAACGAAGGAAATATGTAACGGAAGACAAAAATGAACACAGAAACGAAATACGTCAGTGAACGCAAAACGAAACACGTAAAAGAAAGCAAAACGATCAGCCGAGTAAATTAAATGCGTGAGGTGACCATTTGTAAGTGAAAAAAATCACACGTTTTTTAAAAGTGTTTTCTAAAGATAACTTCTAGGTGAAAGTACAACTTAAAACCAAAGTTCTGATTGTTTCTTTTGTTTAAACAATTTATTTCAACTTATTTTTTTACACTAAAGATGGACGAAAGGCACTTTCGCGCATCACATTGCATATCCAAATCTCGCGCTTTATGAGGCTTTAAACAACTTGTACATCTATAAATAAATAAGCCTGTAGCTTTAAAATAACTCTGCAATATTTAGTTACGAAACTGAATCTTGATCTGTTCAATAACAGTTTCTTGAGCCATGGTTTTCTTCATGGTTCTTGAGTCTACTCTGTTTTTCAAGAACAGTAAATAAAAAACCGCAAGGGTGTGATTCACACATATTCCTCATCTAAACACTACGGTATCATTCACGTCTATCAAACCACTATAAGTTTTCATGGAAATAATAAGTCAATTTTCCAATACTGTATATGTGCAGTCCTTTTATATCCACGTAAGAGATGAAATAAAAGATAAAAAAATGAATGCAAGAGATACCCTTGAACAGCGTCGTGAAATTGACTTTCTTGATAACCACGGAGGACAGTTAGAAGCAAAACCAAAGAAGAAATATAAACTAGGGGGCTAATCTAAGGGTTTCTAACACTTAAAAAAGTGTCTGAGTGGACGAGTCAAGGCTGAGAACCTTTGCTTGATCATGAACCTGAATTTCTTGTCAGAAACATTACGTACTGCATTAGTTACAATTTCAAGGATTTAAGAACATTCATTCTGATGGCCGCTTCATCAGCGACGCGATTGAGAACTTTATCATCCCGAGCTTCGTCTGTGGCTCCAGACAAATCGATCGACTTGGTAAGTTGCATGATTCGTCTTTGATCTCGTCGTGTCCGCCTGTGTTTTTCTCTTGAGCTTTTCTCTCCCCTGGAATCCAGAAACTTTTCAACGACATTGTCCCAGTCGACAACGGATTGGATTAGACTCCATTCTTGATAAGCATCTTCATCCATAGCCTCATCCGTGAAGCTCAATCGCCGGCGTCTCTGAGTGTCACATACGCCATTGTTTTCGTCCTGTTGCACAGCAATCTCTTGCACTCGGCACCTGCAGCGAGACCTATACAGCATCTTGATGACATGGACCAGCTTTGAGAAGAGATTTATCGGCGTTGGGTTGGAGGTCTCGCGTTCCATGTTTCTGATAAGCCTGGCTCGTCCGAACTTCCACTCCACATCCGACGCGACTTGCAACCGTTGGTAGGTGTCGCTCATCATGGCGATCAGGAGGTTGATTAGGACGATTATTACAAGCACGTTGTAGAGTCCGAACACCACTTTAGACATGTCTTTCGCTCGCACATTATCGTCTGAAAGAAAGTCCTTTTGATTTGTCAGTCCAAAGATACCAAAGAAGAGGAGTTCCACGATTTTCAGAAAGGGAACTGCAGGTTTTGCTGAGATCGCACCGCGTTCCGTGTCGTTGGCAGCCTTCAACTCCAATGGCTTAAACACTGCTGCGAGCTGCAACGCGAAGCTGGAGAAGAATATTGTCAGGATGAGCAGAAAACGAAGGACATCGACAACGAGATGACCGATGATTACTCCCCAAGGACCAAATAACCTGTGAATGGACAAGAACTGAAGAAGTTGCAGACCACATAGCATCAGCGCCGTGCCCAGAAATTGGTCCCGCGCGAACACGATTTCAACTCTCTTTTCACCATCGTAACCAATTGCAATCATTCGAAGTAATTCGCCAAACAGTACCAAGAAGATCACAAGGGTAGGGACCCATCCAAGCCCGCTACGTTCCCGTTCGCTACTAATCTCAGTCAGGAGCATACCAATGATCCACATGAATAGAAGGTATTCGTACCAGTGGGGTAAGAGGTCGCTACCGTCGTGGTTCCACGGCACTACCACCGTCAGACAGAGAATTAGGATGAGATAGAGGTGAGAGATGAGCCGGCAGATGAACTTGATGATGGGGATCTTGCGGTGCCTGTTCTTGAACGGAAGTGAGAGGTATACCCAAATGGGCGGGAACAAGAATGCCACGAGGAACAAAACCATGAATTTCCAGTCCTCCCACTTGAGGTCACCGAACCAGATCTGAGTGACATATTGCTGAACCAAAGGATGCGAAACACACTGTTTCAGCTCGCATTCGATCAGGAAATCGAGGAACGCCACATTTTTACCGTCAATTGAGTTGAGCACTGCTCCAGAATCCTCGGCACATGAGATGCTGATAAGGTCCTTTGCCACGGTTTCGCAGAAACCGCTGGCCAATTCCAGCTCGTTTGCGTGTTCTTTGTTTTTAGTAGTTTCAATGCGGTAGTGACGCGACAGGAACGATGAAATGTGCACAGGGGCTGGTGCACTGAAAAAAAAAAAAAAAAAAAAAAAAAAAAAAAGATATCGAGTAAATAATTGGCTTTTACCAGGAGTTCTGTCTGGTGTAACATTTTCGGCCTGTTGATTACTCAACCTGGGTAGCTAGAAGCTGGGTTTTGGCCGGCGAAACTGCTATAGGAATGGGAATGAGAGTGTTTACGCAGCTTCACCACAGTTGTAGACCTGCAAGCACGCAACCTAGTTATCACTTAATACTGTCTTACATGACGCTTTCGTTGGTTTGTACGTTCGCGTATACTCGGTTGTTCGTCACCTCGTTTGTTCTTCCCGTTTTAAGTAAGTAATTAAGTAAGTAAGTTAGCAGTATCCTTTATCTAAACAAGACGAGGGAGAAAGCATTACATGCCTGAGGGGTGCAACTAACTAGTACTTACTTTACCTACAAGTAAAAGTGGATAAAATACATGAAATGAATAATGAAACTTCAAAGTAAATGCGTGGCAATACAAAATGTGCTCATACAGTGCAGGTTGGAAGGTCACAAACAGTTTCAATCGAATTTGAACCAGAGGAAAATGCCCCCAAGAAGATGTGTATTCAAAACCATTAGTATAAAGCGGACAAAACTTTATCATCAGTTTTTATCGCTTTTCCCTTCAGAAACTGTAACAGTAGAGCGTAGTAAGACATACGAGCTGAGAAGACCACGATGCCAGAGATAATCCCGGTTTCCTAAGCATGAAGCGACTAAGAGCTTTAACGCTGAAACGAGGTGTTAGTGTATCAAGGAGCCTCATCCCACATTCATTCGTCAATTTTCACCGGAGCTCGACCAGGACCTTGGCATAGTAGAGCTTTATGTTACTATCACAATCAAGTTTTCTGTATATTTGTTAAAATACTAAGAAGAGCGAGCACTTCATTTTGGATGTAAACGAAGACAACAGTAGTATTTTTAAATTATACATCCATATGTAAAAAAGAAACTTAGAGTGTACTTGGAAATTATTATCTTTTTGCTTTCTAGATAAGATAACCACTGACTAAACAAACCTAAAATATAAATCTACCTGAGAGTAAAGGTCATCAAAGATTTGCAATTGGATGAACGAGAACAAATCACAAGGTCCAGCAAAAACTGCAAAACAAACAAACAAACAAAAGATAAAAATCAAGGATCCAGAAATGAACCCTTTCTCTCCCATAAGTGACCAAGACAGAATTTCTCCTTACAATATCAATATAATATCAAGAAGACAAGTGATGAGAATTAAAAAAATATCAATTAGGGGATCATTAGTTGATCCAATACCAAACTCTCTGAACTAACATCATAAGAATTGTATGACAGAAATTACGGAGAATTACCAATGAGATGCTGGGTGTTAAAGGTTTAAATCACTAATAACTATTCGGAAAAAGTGTTGGTCAATGAAGGAAAAAAACCTGCAATAAATCGTAAAATCAACGTCGCGTGGCTTATGTGATCCACAGAAGTTACTACTCACTCTTAAGCACGTTAAGACTTATTGTTAAAAGTTAAGCGTAAAATTATCAGAATATTCGACAGAAAAAATTTTATTGTTATGGTTGATATGTTCTGTTTGACAAGTTCCTAAAATATATTTTATAGGTGTACAAAGGACCTTCTTGGATTCTGGTTGATCCCCCATTATTGGTATTCAATTTTCTGCAGACCTCAATTCATACTCAGTTAGTGACAGCTGATCTACCTCAGTTCCCCCCTGAAAACCATGTGATCCTTACAAAATTCACCATCCCCTCCCTTCCCTCCCTCCCAGGTGATAAACGATGACTGGTCTCTTACTCACACGTTAGAGCCATCAAATACCTTTTTGTTGCTCAGAAGTCGTTCATGATTTACTCTTTGACTCAGTAGGAAATCCAACACTCCAAGGTGTCTTTCTCTCACTGCCAGACAAATAGGTACATCTTCAGCCTGGAGGAAAATCGACACCAAAATGTTAGATATCGACGCCTCAAACTATCGACATCGGTCAGCGGTCCATCATAAGTGCAAAAGCACTGTTGTAGTGTCAAAAACTGTATCAAATAAATTTCAAAGGAAAAGGGTCGTGAACACTGGATTGGAAAAAAGTAAGCCTTTATACAGGTCCAAGTGGCCCATGGGGCCAGCGCTTAACTCCGGTTTCATTAGCATGAAGCGGCTAGGAGTATTGCTACTCCCCCCTGGTTGGGATGCTAGTCCACCGCAGGGTTACCCTCAGCATATTTGCTGATACCCATTTGTACACCTGGGTGAAGATAAGCACTGTGAGAGTAAAGAGTCTTGCCTAAGAACACAACACAATGACAACGGTCAGGGCTCGAGCCCGGACCACTCGATCCGGGGTCGAGCGCACTAACCATGAAGCCACCGCGCTCCCACACTAGAGCCAAGGCTTTGAATTTTTCATAATGGTTGGAGAAGGAAAACAGAAAAAATTTTAACATACAGTTCTTTTTGGTAGGTTAAAATTAGAGAAATGAGTGTAAAGCAAAAAGAAAAAAGGTGTGTTCAAAGGAAGAGAAATGACATGGATTGAAGATGACAAATATGATAAACTGAGGCTGTAATGTGCAGTGCAAATGAGCAAATGAGCGTTTTTCGCATTCTACAAGAAACGCTGAGTCCCTCTAAAAGGGATAACATAATTTTCCTTACGTCTGACCTTGTTTTCGATCAAAGGCGAAGCTCCATACTCCACCAACACTTTTACCACCGCAATATAACCAGCTTCGGAGGCAATGTGTAGAGCCGTATTACCCATCTAGGAAGAAACAATCACATATCTTTAATACGAGACCTTCTAGCCTGTCCCGTTGGTTGAAAAAAAGAGAACCAAAAGACACGACTTTCGTTAAAGACTGTTTAACAAAAAACTCTGACGATGTTTTTCTTTGGATAAGGAAGGAGTTAAAGTCGTGCATTTCCCAAAATAATGATCTATAGTTAGCATACGTTATCCTGGGCGTCAATATCAGCTCCCTGGCCAATCAGGATCGTCAGCAGCTCCCTGTGGCCATTAGCAGAGGCGAGGTGTAAAGGTGCTCGACCATCATTGTCCGTCAGCTGAAGCAAAGCTGAGGCTTTACTTATCAACGTGCTGGCTACTTCAATGTGACCTTCCATGGATGCTATATGGAGTGCTGTGCGACCCTGCAAAGATGGAAAAGAAGAGAAAAGCGTGTAGCCAGAAGAACCTTGAACCACGTCATTAAAAGCATGGGGCACGTGCTCTGTCGTGTCGCATACTTTTGATACACTGGTAATCTTAAGTGAGAACAAATTAACTGTCCCCCTTCTCTCAATGCAATCAAATTTGTCTCGCTGACAAATCGTCCGAACATCACGAGCTTAGGAAAAGAAATAAACGGATTAGAATTGAATGAATACATGAATGAACGAACAAGTATACAAAAATTTGTCAGTGGGCTTTGCTCACCACGTCTACTTTTGGGTGTGGTTTTGAGGGGGGAAATCTTAAAGATGTCACCTTGTAAGTCACTCTGAATTCATTTGCGTACATTTGAACAAAAGAAAGCATTCAACCTACCGCCTTGCCGGTCACAGTGTCCACTCGTACGCCAGGATGGTTGGTAATGGCCCGCACCAGGGTGTTGTCGCCATTTTGAGCGGCAAGATGAAGAGAAGTAAAACCATACTGACATAAAAAACAGTATAACATACACTGAGAAACTTTATGCTCTCACCAAAAAAGAAAAATTGGAATTTTCTTGAGTAGAGACAGTGGACTTTCTTTGAGGTATGGAAGACAAGTACTGCCGTACTTTTTAAATTCAATTTTACTTTTGATTAAATGACTGTAAATATATGAAAATCTTAGGTGTGAACTGCGGTTGAAGAAACGAATATGGAAGCGATCTCCGCAGTTATGAACATTACTTAAGTAGTAGAGAAAATAAGGCCTGAAAAAAAATTTTCTTCAACCGCAGTTCATATACATGATTTTCCTATATTTGCAGTCATTTATTCACCCCTTCGAGGCTTTATTTGGAACCAACAAAATGACCAGCTCCTAGTTGGCTTTTTAGCTCAGTTGGTGGAGTGCTGCACCGGTATGGCAGAGGTCATGGGTCCAAATCCTGTACAGGTCTGAATTTTTTTCAGGCTTTATTTTCACTAATAGTTAAGTAGTGTTCATAACTGCGGGGATCGCTTCCATATTCGTTACTTTTGATAAGTTTTATACAAAATTGTCAATTCAAAGAAGTAAATAATTAAACGATAACTAAACAAAGTAAAAAAGTGCTCACGTCATCGTCTTCGTCTTCACCATCGGCTTGAACTGGACGCTAAAATAAAAACAAGAGATAATCCGATTTTGAATAGCTACGTTGCAACACGGTTAGAAACTCTAACATCCTTTCTTTTTCTGTGCCGAAAAAAAAGCATATTAAATAGATCTTAAAAGGATTTTTTTTCACTGGGGTGTCAAGGGAAATCCGGGTTGTATTGGTCCAGAAAACACACGCCATCTTCTCAGCCAATCACTTGCAAATCTAAAACTAATCGCGACTAATGAACACATTTTCCCGCTCTCCAGGCCCACGTGATTACTTTTAGTTCTCATTGGCTTCTTCTGGTATGCCCTTTGTTCTGATTGGTTGTTGTGACTGCTCTAGTTTTAGCGCTTAAGGTGTCCGTTTTCTGACTAATGAAAAACATCTTACATGAAAAATGCACAAAATGTTTTACCAAACTGAAAGATCATCAAACAATTTATCATACAAAGAGACCAAGATCGTCATTTTTCAGGCTCATCACTCGGTTAGTTTTTGCAGAAAAGTTAAATTATCACACAACGATAAGTAACAATTACTGGTACCTCACCTCACTGACGAGCGTGGCAGAATAAGGGGCCCTAGTGAGAAACTCCTGTACAACCTCTGTCTGACCATATAAGGCAGCAACGTGAATGGCTGTCATTCCATTCTGAAAGAAATTTGACAAATTACATCACTAACCACAACCCACTTGCCGGTTACCACCGCAACATGTCGCGAAGGGGGCCCGTGGAGGGGGGGAATTTTAACATGGAATTGAACATGGTTGAATTCCACAGGAATGGCGTATTTTTTAGCTACTTTTAGATACCAACTCTTGAAAAAAGGGAAATTCCAGTGACACTTTCAGGTGATCAACACCACAAAGAGTACCTGTGAGAACAGACCCATGAGCGGGGTGTTGCTCGAAAGGAAAAAAATTCAGACATTTCATAACCTAAATGCATTCACTCCTAAGATCTTGTTAGAAGTTCTCCTTACTATATACAATTGTTGCCATACAATTCTTACGATGTCACTTAGGAGAATTTGGTATTGGATCAACTAAAAACCCCCTAATTGATATTTTTCTTTATTCCCATTACTTGCCTGCTTGATATTGTAAGGAAAAATTGTTTTGATTACTCATGAGAGTTTTTAAGGGTTAACTTACAAAGAGTCTCCTGAAGGAACATCACAAAAAAACAAAGAAGAATAGAAAGAAACTTTTACAAACCTTAACACTGGTTCGGTTAAGTGGTGTTTTTCCCCATAACATATCAATAACTTTGACTTGACCAAACTTGGCGGCTAAGTGTAGAACACTGTTGCCCTCCTACAAGTATGAATGAAACAAAATATGTATCTTTCACCACAGAGCATCCCAAAGTGCGGTGCACGCAAAGATATGATCTTTACAGATAAACTGCAATAAGAGACAGCGCAGAAAAGAGGCCTGAAAATTTGGGGCTTCGACAGAATTCTAACCTAGGCCTCCCAGAAACTGGTTGGGCTCTATTACCAACTGATCTATGAAGCAAGGGGTTTAGTTTCTAAAGAACCTGTGATGCTGCGTCGGTTGGAGAGTATAACAGGGTAATTTAGTATTATCAACCAAGTTGATAACGTAAATTGGCCACCGTTTCGAGCGTTAGCCCTTCGTCGGAGCAAATGACGAAGGACTAACGCTCGAAACCTCAGGTTTGAAACTACTTACTGTGGCCAATTTGCGTCATCAACTCAGTTGATAATGCTAAATTACCCTGAACTATGAAGCCACACGTTAGGAGCTAATCTCAAAGTGCAGTTAGGAACCAGCGAGTTGAATAAAACTCAAGGTGGATGACCACACATCAGACGTTCTCTTATTCAACGCTAGAGGCGACAACGGAAGCGGCTGGAAAATGATGGAGTAAAGGAACTTAACTTTTTCTCTGAAGAGGTAACTAATGTGACCGCTACCCAGAACTTCTCACGCCCGTTTCGCGTTCAACAGAGGAAAATACTACAGTTTGTTGCCTCATTGTGCTTTACATCCTACATTGCTTAACTGATAATGCTTTAAATTTAGTACCTCTCTGCTTAACTTGGTTTTATTTATCATGACGAGAAACTGGCAGTTCATAACATTGAAAACAGGACAATACATGAGGGTGTTTTTACCGTGTCTTCTTCAGTTGGTGAAGCTCCATTTTGAAGCAAGAATTCCACTATGTCTTTATAGCCTCCGCGAGCAGCCAACAGAAGAGGTTTGCACAAGACGCCCTACAGGACAAGAGATTTTGAGACAAACTGTTTAGCAAGGTAGTTTCTTTGATATACGCGACAAATTAATCAAGGGCCGGAGATTGATAGGAAACCTTGACAGCAGTAGTATGTGAAGAATGGAAGGGGGCATGAAGTGACCTTAACGTCTGATTCAGGGATTATAGTGTATACTGACATTCTGCTTTCGGCATCGCAGTCTTAATAGAATAACCTAGACAATATCTTTGTTCATATCAGAAATCCTCTTTTGCCAAGAACTTTCCATGCTCCCGCCATTTTTCATAGGAATGGCTTTTTGGGTACCCTTTTCTCGTTTACACAGACAACAACAAAATTTAACAAGAATCAATAAGAATAATTTATAAACTACATGTTCTCCTGTTCAAGAACTAGATAACTTCAATTAGGCTAGTGTGTTTAAATCTGTCCTTGTTATCCCTAGATCCAGATAATGTGATGGAAGGCTACAAATATTCTGTTCGTACATACTTCCGTGCAGTCTTCCACACGTGACAAATTATACAAAGGAAAAATTGTATAGTCTGAGTTGTGTAGCATCACAAAATGTGAACACGTTAGCCTAAATCCGTCTACTATCATGTTTAGTTGGGAGCTTTACAAATGAAATTTGGTTCACTCTTTCTTTGAAACCTTTCATTCCCAAGATCTGATTGTTAATTCTCCCATCCAGTTGCAACACATTTTGTCGTAAATTAGTTGCAAGAATTTGGAACTAGATAAAAATGACAAATATTAACTGATAACTGAGTACTTCTCATTATCTCTTTGCTAGATAATATATAGATATTGAGGGGAGAAGCTGTATCTTAATCTCTTTTGAGTGCTAAAGGGTTATGAAAAATCCTTACCTTATCAGATGAACATTTGGCAAAGTCGAGCTTAACAAGTTTCCTTACAACTTGGAGACTTCCATTTGAGGAGGCGATGTGTAACGCGTTAAGTCCCTCCTGACAAGAAAAAGCAAACGAAAGAGATAATCGAGTCAAGAATTGACCCTCGCAATTGGACTGCAATTTAAGTTATTACAGAAAAGGATTCTGAAAAATTCAGAATTTGACGAAATTCGTACCCGGGCCTCCGCGATACAAGTTGGGTGCTACTGGGAATTGAACTGCGAAGCCTCATGTTGGGAGTGAGGCAAAAAATTGACTTTCAAAATATGATTTATTTCATCTGATTTTGAAAGATATTTGATGGAGGTCAAGTTATTCAGTTGCACCTTCGTTACCTACAGTCGCACAAATCACAACAAAACAAACAAGTAAACAAACACGAGGGGTTTTCCTGAGCTCACCGCGTTAATCTGTGTCATGGTGTCGGGTCTCACGTTGAAAAATAATTCGACGATATCTTCCCTGTCATTTAGAGCAGCGTAATGTACAGGAATCATGTCTTTCTGTTCAGGATAAAAGCCATGTAATTACATTAATAAATCTTATTTGTGTGTTATCAAGTGCTTTTCTATTAGGTGTCGTAGAAAAAAATAAAACAAAACAAAAAAGAAAGAAAATACGAAAAAGAAAACAAGAACAACAAAAGCAACAAAAAAACCAAAAAAACACCGTAATCCCAACAGCCAATCAAATCAAAGGTATACACCTAACCCTTTCAGCCCCAAGAGAGAAGATTATCTATTTTCTCTTCACAGTATTACTGCTGAATCGAATATCAAGGTCATGAAAATAAACTAAACGATCACTAAAGTTAAAAAACACTTGATCATTAAACAAATTCTCTAAGGCAGAACCATAATAAATATGTAGAGCACATTATGGAGAATATGTATACTGGAGTTTAGGTGTAAAGGATAAACTCCCTTAAGCACGGGAAAACCCGCTTGGTTGAGTCTCACTTTTGATAGGTCAAAACGGTTGCATAAGTTAATGAACTGCATAGCATAAGGAAGCATATGCAGTGCAATCTTGGATTACTTTCCACCCTCAATTATAAGGTATAGCAACGTCCAATTCGATCTGTCACCATAATGTGATTAATAGTGTATTGTTAATTACGAGTATGATTACAGAACGAATTGGAAGACACAAAGTCCTCCGAGTTACCAATTAATCAGAACTATGACAAAATTAGAGAAACAAAATAACCTTTAGTTAAATATTTTTAGAAAAAATGCGACAGCTACCCAGGATAAACGTGTGACAACAGAGTTTACTTGTCTAATTACTCAGGTATGTCGTGTACACTTTCCAATTGGTGCTCAAATTGGGCTCAGGATAGGAACCAATTACGTTCGAGAATATGGTTAAAGTTTTCGGTTATTCTCTTGTCAATAACTCTGGTCATCAGTGACATTTTTGGAAAATCTACAGCAGGTCTTTGTAAACACTCCAACTAAATTTTCGACCTATAGGAAAATAAAATGCCCCACTAGTGTATAGAAGACAATTCTCCCTAAACAGAAATGACTCAGACCAGATAACCGAGCTGGCCAGAAGTTGGGTCTCAGTGACATTAGCTGTGGTCTCGGGAAATCGAAGGAAAGTACTTAGCCGAAAGAACTCACACTGTCTGTCACGTTAGCATCTGCACGTAAATCCAGTAGAACCTTGCACACTTGAAGCCTGCCATTCTCAGCTGCTAAATGCAGGGGACTCTTCTTGTCCTAAGGAAAAAATCATCCGCATTATTGTATATATGAAAAGGCAGCAAGTACACTAAAGAAATATAAGTGCAATCTCAAGACATTCAATTAAGAACTTTCCCATAAGGAGTTTCCAACCCTTTACGATAGAAAAATGTTTTTATCACCATCTGGAAAATTCCAGACGATTGACAATGATGCTTTTCACCATTTACCCCTTTAAGTGAGCAGCATCACTGCTAAATTAATCATTAGGGACACGAGAACAATGCCAGAGTCTATTGATGGGTGACTCAGCGAATTCCCTCTGTCAGAACCATAAGAAATGTATGAAAGACAGTATGGAGAATATGCCTATTGATAACCAGGGTGTATACGTTTAAACAATACACACCACTGTCAGAGGGTCGATAATGGCATTGTACTTGGTAACAAGCACACGAACAAATTCTGGGTGACCCTTCTCGGCCGCCATGTGAAGCGGAGTCGTACCAATCTAAAAAAAAAGGTCCACACGTTATTAAAGACCTAAACCAGTACAATAGGGTATGATTTGTGAATCTGATTTGTGATTTGTGCGAAGACGTTTCTAAGACTGAGATGACTAACAAGTGGAAGGTGAGAATTAACCTTTTCACTTATGTAAGCGACCAAGACAGAGTTTCTCCTTACATTATTAATAAATACAATGTCAAGTGATGAGAATGACGAAAAATATCACTCGATGGTCCAATACCAAATTCTCCGAACTAACATTATAAGAATTGTATGGCTGACAGTAAGGAGAATTACTCTGAGATCTTGGAAGTGAAAGGGTTAATTACAGAGAAGTAAAGACGGTGTTTGGTGCTTTTTTTCTAACGAACTACTTAACGAATCAGTTGAAACTCAGACAAGGCCCAAAACATATCGTTTATGTTCAGACACGAATAAACTTTAATTTTATTTTAATCAACATGTTATTAGCGGTTGAGCAAAGAGTCTAAAGCAATCAATGAACCAATGAGTGGAAGATAAGAACTTTGTACTCGTTGACTAAAGTTTCTAGAATTAAGTTACTTCAGCATTTTAATATGTTTTCATACCAACCTGGCATTTCTTGATAGCGAGACGACGACACACGAAGTAAATTTAATTTTAATTAAGATATTGTATGTAGAAATTGTGAATTATCCGTTTATTTATTCCTTCATTTAACTATTTATCTCTTAATCATTTATTCATTTACTTCTTTAATCATTTGTTTGTTTGTTTATTAGTCTATTTACTCGTAAATATGCAAAGGAAAGCAAAGCAGAGGCCATTTGCGGGTAGAAATGTTTTATCAGAGAGCAGTTTTCAACTAAGTGTCGATAGTAATCAAGAGTTGCTTTTGCTTTTTATTACTTCGCCTCTTGTTTATTCCAGAAAACTTGCGCCATTTCTCAACCAATCAGATTCGAAACTAAACCCAGCTTTTACTATGAGCTCTCATTGGTTGCTCTTCACATTTTCCTTTTGTCTCATTGGCCGTCGCGAAAATTTTAGTTTTGATTTTTACGACACTTAATCGAAAAATGCTTCATTACAATAAACTTTCTTACAAAAACGAGACGCAATGCTTTAATTTTATTTCTGCTTAAGCAAGTTATTTGATAGAGTGTAACAAGGTCATTAATCAGAGTGCAGTGAAGGCAAAAATAGATGATGTAGAGGAAGATTTCATGGATGGAATATGTCAGTGAAGATGCAAATGGAGCCCTTACAGGCAAATCTTCTGTGTTGTCTTTGCGTGTTTTATCGCTTGAATAACGGACATTTGGCTGAAAAGAGAACATTAATGACCAATATATGAGGTTATCAATTCGGTTAAATGTTAACGGTTAGTTTCAGTAACTGTCGTTTCTTGGTGGAACGTGACAAGTGTGTTCAAACGTCAATTAGCCATAACTGACCATCATAAGTAAGCTTATGAAAGTTGTTGAAAGCAGAGAATATGGAAATCGATGTGACTAACCATTTCCTTTTTTTTGTTGCCTTTGGCCTTTTGGTTCGTCACGTTCTAACTAACAGATGCAATGTTGAGTCGTTCGTTTGATCTGAATCAACGTTTGAAGGTAATTGAATCGAATCTTTACATTAAATTGTGATGTCTCATCATAAATAACGATTAAAATAAAACACATAAACGGAAGAAAAAAGTACTTTTAAAGGAGGCTAATGACTAAAAATCGAGCAAACACCATGGAATATTTGAGGGAGTCAAGCGCGCTGACTACAAAGCCACCGTACCAACCACAACTTTTAGACTTCTTGGTACTCAATGGCCAAACTCATTTTCGAGTCGTTTGCGTCAGACACAAATATTAGGTTTTCCTAATTTTGTGCGCAACTAACATCAGAAACTCGCAAAACGCTGTGAAACTATTAATTTATACTCAGTTTTTGTAAGTATACTAGTTTATATGATTTCAGGCTTCATATTAAAATGGTAAATACTTAAAAAAGTATATGAAAACGTTTTTTAGAGAAAAGTAAAAAAAAAACGAGTCAAAGTTACGAATTTAGCATGAGTGGTGGTTGATGGCGCGATGTGGAGGTTAAACCTTTTAAATCACTACAAATTATTTGCACAAACCTTGGTTCTGCCGTTCACATAAGCTTTGTGATTCAGCAGTTCACGTGCAACCTCCACATGTCCTCTGGATGCAGCGTAGTGGAGCGCTGTGCCACCCACCTTAAGATAAATAGCAACGAGAATTTTCAATGCGCGCACTCTCCGATATACTAACATGTATTAATAAATTATCCAATCGTATTGCTCCAATCTGTAGAGATCCCATCTGTATACATGTATACTGTATACATAAAAAAATTATGACAAATATTTCTTTTCTTGTCATTGTTCTGCTCCCTCAGAACAAAATCGCAAGAATTCGTTACTAGAAGAAATCTCGGTCATGTAGAACCGCAAACATCTTTTTCCCGAAGAAGAGAAAAAATCCTGGCAAATTTGATGTTTCGTGCTACTCTCTGTGGCATTTTCAAGCACATGTACCACCTCACATGAGGAACATAAAATTTTGCTATACACAGTCTTTTTCAACTCCATCATTTTTCTTGTTATATTTTGTTTTTTTATATCACCTTGCTGTTGTGGTCTCACTTAAGTTAAAAGTATTTATGCACGTTACCAAAAATAAGCTTCCTGAAGAGACTTCTTGGTTTACTTTAAAGTGAGAGGGGCAACTATAAGATACTGTGTTTATCCCACAGTAGTAGTTTTTAAAGTTTAATTTTCATACTTAAAAATTATTTAGAATACTTGATACCTCGTCAAAAACATCTACTCTGGCGTGAAAACGCAAAAGTGCTCGCACCACTTCTAGCTTGCCATACTGTGAGGCAATCATCAGTGGAGAGGCTCCGCTCTACATAACATTAAAAATAAAAAATCTCATTCATTAAAAATACAACGGTTTTACACATTGTGAATTTGATGGAATGGTTTTAGTTTAAAATAGTTCCAAGTAATTTCATGCTAATAGTTATTAGTTTAATTGACTGTACAACTACCAGCCTAAGTAGGATCTTGGAGTAAAAGCCCTCCCTCTGTCTCCCACCCACTGCCCCCCCCCCACCCACTGCCTCCCACCCACTTCCCCCCACCCACTGCCTCCAACCCCCGTCCCCTTCCCTCCAACCCCCTCCACCTCTTGTCTACGCCCCCATTGGTCAGCCAGACAGTTATGTCCCACCCAAGGAAATCAGAATTAAAAGTCCGCCCTGCTCCGTGCCCAGTATTGTGTTAGTTACCTCAGTTGTCTTGTTAATGATACTCAGTTTGATGTACTCTGGAACCTTTGGGGAAGTAAATATTTTCTCAATCATTTGGTAGTTTCCTGACCGTGCGCACCAGTGAAGGGGTGTCTCTCTTTTCTAAATTAGGCAAAAAACAAAAAGAAAATGAATTAAAACAAGGAGTAAAAAGAATCTACACAGAAAGAAGACATTTGATAAAAGTTGCCATCACGTGTAGTGTAGTTCTTCTTAGAAAAAAAAATTATACATGACGACAAAGCTCAGACACCAACGAAGCTGGAATTCCGCATGAAAAGTCGAGGCCTGGTCGGCGTGAGCTCTGCTAGGGGTTTGGCACTAGTAATGAGTACGACCCCTCGCTGCAGACTTCACGGCGGTTCTCTTGTTCAAGGCCCGCAACTCTTCTACGAGCGAAGGAACACTCGTCCAACAATAATGAGGGCCTGCTCGCCACATTAACGAACAATTCTTCCAGGTTATTATCCTCAACAACATTGTGCATTACCTGGTAAGTTGAAAAAGTCAGGTCTGCACCATGATCAAGAAGAATCTGCACGGTATTAACAAGATCCTCTGTGCCCGCTGATCCTTCAGGAATACCAGCCACCGAATGAAGAGCAGTCACTCCAAGCTAAGAGAGGAAAGCAACGTGTTAACCCTTTCACTCCCGGATGGTATTAAAGAGGAATTTCTCCTTACAGCATCAAAATATTTTTACGAAGAAAAGTGAAGTGGAGAAATAAATAAATCAGCAGGAGAACTGATTGTTGAATTGTGGAACAAATCCTTAAAGCCAAAATTACAGGAAATGCATGGCAAACAATGCAAGGAATTGGTTTTTAGATCAGTGAAACCTTTAATCCCCAAGAGTGACTGGCCTCTGATTTCTCCATTCAGAATCACCCTTAAATTAAATGTAAAGGTCACAAGAATATTGGAGATGATCACCAATTTACGAAGCTCCTGATTCTCAAACAAATTCCCCTTGTCAGTACCACAGGAAATGTTGAGAGATCAGCGTGGAGAATATGAACACTAAAGTAATGGTGCAAAAAGGAAGCCTCCACTGGTTGAAGAGAATTTCTCAAAGTTATGCGATAACATCGAGTCCTTACAGTATACCACAAACTTACATTGTTTGGTATGTTAACAATCAAACGAGCGAGAAGGTACGTCTTGTCCCTAAAAAGTTGCTCGATCAGAGCCTCTACTATTTGAAAGTGTCCGTTTTGACAGGCAAAATGAAGAGGGGTGTCTCCTGACTGCAACAGAATAACAATTGAGTCCTTTAGAGAGTTTTTAACCCTTAAAAGAGTGATTAGTAACTATTTCTCTCATCAGTATCGCCCCTAAAATGAACATTGAAGTCATGAGAATAAAGGAGATGATCACCAACTAAAGAAGCTCTTGATTGTTATATGAATTCTCTTTGTCAGTACCATAAGAAATGTATAGAGAACAGTGTGGAGAAAATGCATACGGATCTTAGGGTGTTAAGGGTTAATTGAGTGCCGAGAGTAACCCGGGACTGCTCTGTTTTTACTTCACTTCGCTCTGTGATTGGTCCAGGAAACTCGAGCCACTATCTCAACCAATCAGACACAAAATTAAAAAAGAAAAACTTTTGGTTCGATTAACCTCTTAGAGTATAGGCTAACTTTAAGTATACCTTGCTACGGCGGGCCACTTCAGTATTTTCTCGCAAAAGGATATTTACAACTTCTAAATTCCCGCATCTGGAAGCTAAATGAAGAGCTCTCTCGCCGTTCTGTGAATGAAAACCACAGGTTTGTTTTTCAGATATGTAATTAGCTCTTATTGAATCATATCCACCAT